GTCACAGCCCCCACTGTGCAGCTGGCCACTGCTGGCAGCGGAGCCGGGGCCTCCTGCAGTACTGGGCAGCTAGGCAGGGCTCTTGGGGATGCGCTCTGCGTTCCTGTTCAGGGCCTGGGTGCAGAGCCCCGGGTGTGCACCGGTGTTGCCTGTTCCCAGCGCCGGGCTGGGGCTGCTGGCCCAGGAGAAGGGGGCCAGAGACAGGACAGCTGGGAAGCCTGTTGGCGAGGTTGCTCCGGAGAGCCAGGGAGGCCCTAGCGAGGATGCTGTGGTAGAAGGGCGTGTAGCTACATGCCAAGCGGGGCGGCCTGCCTCGGGCCTCGCCTCTGGAAATGGCGGCAGGCTGCCAAGTCGGCTGAAATGTACGCAGCTCTGCCGGCGCTGGAGGGTGCAGCAGGCTGCCGCAGGTGTTGAGAGGCCGGCTCACCAAACCGAACCCAGTGCAGGCCGCGCTGCTGGCCTGCACCCCAGATGCTCACCTGGCTGCCTGAAGAACAGGAAATAGACCAGCTGCTTCCCCACGGTGCCAAGAGCAGGGCAATGGAGGCTAGCCCCTAGCCTGGGCCAGGGAGCCGCCACGTGCTACAGCCCCCAGTGTTTTCTCGGGTCAGCGCCCTGGGCCTGGCTCTGCCTTCCTCTAGCAGTGCTGGGCTCACGCCAGCCGGGGCTCTTCTCGGAGCTGCAGCAGGAGTGGCTCGTGCTGTCCGTTCAGGGAGTGGTCCACTGCCCGGTGCACTCCTGGCCCAGGCAGGGCAGAAAACAGCTGGCCCCAGCCGGCGTGTCAGCAGGGACTAGGATGCTGGCAAAACGCCACCAGGAGAGCAGGCCAGGCATGCACCGCTTGCTGTGATGCAGCATGAGCCCAGTTCCCTGCCTCCCTCGCCCACCCAGCAGGGCTGCTAGGGAGCATCTCCCCCTCCACCAGCCCGGCGGGCAGGCACCTGGGGAGCCCCGGGCCTAAGGGCATGCAGGCTCCTGGCTCCTCTCTGAGCTAATGATGAGGCTCCAGGCCAGATGCTTGTCTGTCACTCGGCCAGGGACCAGGCTGGTTTCCCAGCACGCTCTAGGGGAGTCCCTGGGCTTTCGGGAGGGCGGCCCCCCCAGACACAGCAGAGATGAAGACCAAGCAAAGGAGCCTGCTCTGAGGCGCTCTCTCCTGTTTACAGGGAACCTGAAGCACGTCACTTAGCTGCCAAGGAGAGGTGGGTTCCTGAGGCCAAGGCAGCCCGCGGGGGACGTTGGAAGGAATTCCTCCTCTTCTGGACCATCCCAGGGAGCGCCGGGGGCGGGGGCACCCCAGTGGCTGTGAGCACATGGCAGCCCCATGCTCCTGCCGTCCAGCCCCTTGTTCCGACAGCTTCTCCCCAAACCTGCTTTCATGGTCCCTGCGGGTCCTGTGAGGGGCCCCGGGCTGCGGGCGACACCGCTGTGACGTGCGCCTCGGGCGCGCTGAGCGAGAGGCTGCGTCCCTGCCGGGGGAGGGGTGGGTGGGACAAGTGTCTTTTTAGCCAGGTGTGTTTTTATCAAATAAAAGGGTTGAACCGTTTCTGCTGCGACCGCCGGGCTGGGCCAAGGGCCCGATTCTCTGTGGCTGCTGGAGGAGGGACAGAAAAACTGCTTCCTGGGCAGCAGAGCAGAGCTGCTTACCCCTGCTTCTGTGCACGGCTGGGGAGCCGGTTGCCCTTCCTTCCCGGTGGGCCTCACCTGCCTGGAGCCACCTCCGCAGGGGCATGGCAAGGCGCAGGCTGAGCGCCCAGCAGGGCTCCATCCCCCCCCC